GCCCCAGGGATGGAGCAGATGGGAAGGAGGCAGGGTTTGTCCTGGCTGCCTCTTCCAGACACCCCAAAACAAAGTGGCTCCTGCTGCTGTGCAGAAGGGTTACCCCAGGGGGGTGAAGGGTGGTGGGGCTGTCCCAGGAGTGAGCTGCTTCCTCGTCACACCTCGCTACAGCTCTGCTTTCCCTCCCACAGGATATTCGTGCTGGGCATTGGATTTTTCACCCTGTGCTTCCTCATGACGTCCCTGGGAGGGCAGTTCTCAGCCAAGCGCCTGGGGGACTCGCCCTTCACCATCCGGACCGAAGGTAGGCACAGCTCCGTGTTTGTGTGATGCTTGATGCCCCCCTTCCATGTGCATGGTCCAGCTCTGCTGATGAGCGCCAGGGATGCAGGGAGGCCAGTGCTTGGATGCCTCTTTTCCCGAGGCTCCCTCTTGAGCCATTTCAGGGATGTCAGGACAGCTCAGGATCCTGTTGGCCCTTCTTGCTGTGGCACGGGGCACTTTGCAGCCATCTGGCTAAATCCTGGCTGTGTTCATATCCAGAGGTGTAACAGGCACGGTGGGGACGTGTGGGTGCTGGAGTGTGGGTGCTGAGCCTGGCTCGCAGCAGAGGTATGGGAAAACACCAGTGACGGGGGCTGACTGGAGCAGACCTTCAGCTGCTGGTGGTGGCGTGGGTTGCGTGGGCTGCTCCTAGTCTGATGTGCGGAGGATTTGGCTCGGGTGGTTGGAGGGCTCAGTGGTTTTGGACAGTTTTGATCTGCAGGGAGTGGAAATTGTTCCTTATGGATGGGAAGATAAAAGGCCTTTGTGGTTTTGTGGAGGTACTGAAATGTAGAAGAGAAATACTCTGATTTTTAGCAAGCGTGCTTTCTGTTACATTTTTTTTTTTTTTTTAAACACCTTTTCTGGTGAGATGTGCAGTCAGCTGAGGAGACAGCCTCTGTGGTGGGAAGGTCGTGTCCTGCCCTTGCTCTGGGAGGACACTGCTGCACGGAACCGAGCTTTGCCCTGACTTTTCCTCTGCGGCCCCAGCCTGGAACAGCACAACTGAATTGCACAGAGGGGAGGGGAATGCCCAGCTTGAACTCCAGTGAGTGGGGTGAGATAGGCTTGGTCAGGCCACCGTGGTCTTCTCCTCCTCCGTACCAAAGGCGTGGAGGGATTTGAGCTGCCCAGCCTCGCCTGGAATGTGATTTTTGGGCAGTAAATCCTCTCTTTGTGGTGCTGGAAGACATGCTAGCGGCTTTCCTACAGAAGGAGAGGACTAAAGTGGTGGTTTCCCGAAGTCGGATGGTGCTTGTAAACTGCTCCGTTGGCTTTCAGAGAGATTAATGTGCAGCCTGCGGCAGCTGGCTCTGCTTTCTCCCCCGCGGATGGAGCACGCAGCGGCTGGCGTTTCTCCCCCCGTGCTCCCCTAATTGTTCCCATCACCAACTCCATTAAGTCCCTTCTCCAAGGGACTGGTGCTTGCCTGGCTGACCTCGGCCTGAGCTGGAGCAGGCTGTGGGATCCGTGCCTCTCGGTATTTTCTGCATGTTTTGCCGTGGTCAGAGTACCTGTCCCTGCGAGGAGGGTGAGTGCTGTGTTAATGTCCCTGTCCCCAAGCCAAGTGCAGCTCCCAGGACGCCTGGTTATAGGGGATTTCTTCCTTCTCGGGATGAGAAATGGCATGTGAGGAGGGTTGGCAGAAGCCCCCAGACCACTGCCTTCTCCAAACTTGGCTTTTGAGGAGATGGGTCCTGAAAAAAAAAGTTTCTGAGCTTGAAATAAGAGGTGCTGCTTGTTACAGCTGCCCTGTGTCCCGGGAGAGCCCCCGTGTCCCCAGGGAGTGTGCGGAGAACTGGAAGAAAGGCAAAGAGGGACTTGATTAACTGTGGGACCAGCCCGAGCTGAGAGGGGGCACTGGTTGTGCTGCAAACAGTAGCAAAGGTTTCCAGAAACCTGCAAAAGCCCCTGGTCCCATCCCAGAGGCGTTTAAGGTTGTGGTGAAACGATGGCAAAAAGACAGTTATTCAGCTTCTTTATCCCCTTTCTGGAAGCCTTGGAGTGGAATAGCCTTTCCCATCCTTATTCTTGTTATCAGTTTAACCCAGATTTTTGAGTCCGCTGATTCTCATCCTTGTTTACCAGGTGCAATGTCAGCACAGTCCTGGAGCTGCATTAAAAGAAACCTCCGCTATCAGGCTCTCGCACCTCTGAGTCCTCCACACTTAATGCTTTAGGTGACTAAATGAGGGTGTGTTCACCTTCTTGCAGCTCAGTTCCTGGTCGTGGGCCGCCTTGGCTCTGCTAAGGGTTTGCTGCCTTGCCGGCCAGCAGAGATACCCACTGCTTTGCTCGGAGGCTATGTGGGTCTGGATGTCGCTTCTGGCAAGAGCTGGTTGGTCTCATTTAAAGAGGAAAAAAAAAAAAAATTATGACCTAGGTCCTCTAATTTTTCAAGCTTTTGATCTCTTGGGTTTATAACTGGCTAAGGCAAATCCTGCTTTGTTAGGAAGCTCAGAAATTCAATGCCTTTATTTTAATTGGATGATTTATTTATTTTAATTGGATGAATTTTCCAAGCAAGGTATTGCATCCAGATGAATTGCTGCAAATTTGGCTATTGCTGTGTTTCTTGTTGGGAAAGATTTGGTTTGTTCATGGTCTCACACTTTTTTGAAACACAAAGCATCCTCACTCCTGTCTCTGGAGGAAGGATGCTGTTTTGGAAGAGGGTTATATTCTTTGTCCCCAGGACTTGGCAGGCAGAACCCGAGAGGCTTTTCCTAGATGTTTAACACAGGGTTCAGGCTGTTGGGGTTCAGCCTTTCCTGTGATACTGGTACGTAGGGACTGGCTGTCCCCCATGCTGGTGTAGCTGTTCTCAGCAGGGCTCCCTGCACACAGCTACGCAGGGTGAGAAACCCCAAAAGCAGAGCAGGACCAAGACCTCAGGGCGTGTACAAGACTGGAGCTGGATGGGAACTGGCCAGTGTCATTGCAGACCCCTCTCTGTCACCTTTGAAAGGTTGTGGCTGTTGGGGGAGGCTCTGATGGCTGGAAAATCCAACTGTTGCGCCCATAGAAAAAGGCAGGCGGGATGATGCACGCTGAGTGACCTCCCTGGTTCTACTCAGAAATAGGGAGTCAAAGCCTCTGGGAAGGTGGCGAGGTGGGGAAACGCCATCCTTGGAGACTTTCAAAACACATCTGGCTGGCGTGAGGCTGTGGGCAGCTTGGTCTGACCCCCAGGTCTGCTCTGCTTGAAGCAGGAGGTCGGGGAGGGGACTCCAGACATCCCTCCTGCATGGGGTGGTACTGAGCGGGCGCGGAGGAGCACTGAATGCACGTGGAAGATGGTGCGGGTTGGTGGGGACAGAAATGGATGTGCTTCTTACCAGTGCTGCCAAGTCTCCATAGGTCTGAATAACAAGCTGGCATTTAATTGACATGTGTTATGGGTCTCGAGGAAACCCATATTGTGGTTGTTGTTGCTGTTAAGTGCACAATGCTGGTGTGAAGATGAGCTCCAAGGAGCACGTTAATTTTGTTGGGCTGATTAGCTCTTGATGTAAGTAATGGTGGGAATTAGGCCGGTATTTGCACAAACTTGGACAGGTTCAGGGCCGTTGGCTTTGGAGGAGTTACTGGGTGTGTGGCCTGAGGTCTGCCATGCGTTGAAACCCAGGCTTGAATATCTCTTGGGACTGGGCTCCCAGTGTGAAACAAGTCTTATGGGGAGTGGCTGGGGGAGCTGGGGGTGTTCAGCCCGGAGAAGAGGAGGCTGAGGGGAGCCCTTATTGTTCCCTACAACTGCCTGACAGGAGGGGGGAGCCGGGGACGGGTCAGGCTCTGCTCCCAGGTAATGGGCGATGGGATGAGGGGAAACAGCCTCAAGTTGCGCCAGGGGAGGTTTAGGTTGGATATTGGGAAAAATTCCTTCACCAAAAGCATTGTCAAGCACTGGAAGGGGCTGCCCAGGGAAGGGGTCAAGTCCCTGACCCCAGAGGTATTTAAGAGACATCGAGATGTGGTGCTTAGGGACAGGGTTTAGTGGTGGACTTGGCAGTGCTGGGATAACAGTTGGACTTGATGATCTTAAAGGTATTTTCCAACCTAAATGATTCTATGATTCTGTAAGCCCTCTGGACTGCACTGGTGGTCCTGCCTGGGGAAGGAGCCCGGTCCCTGCTCCTGCTCTCCTCTCTGCATGGGCTCATCGAAGCGTTGGGTTTAATGGGCCCATTTGAGCATTATTCATTAATTGATTGATTTTCCATTGCAAGCTGGCAGCATCCTCTCCGCATACGCTCTGGGTGCGGGCCGCTCCACCAGCGTAGCAGTGTATTCAGTCGGGGGAGCGAGTGTCCACTCCTGCAGCCCTTCCCGGGGGCGATCCCGGCTTTTGTGGCTGCTCTGCTCCATGTTTCCCCGTGTCCTGCCGGGCTCAGCCGCAATGCTCTGCAAGCGAAGCTGCCCATGCGCTTAAATGCCTGCAGGGCTGGGGGGGCTGCAAAGAGCTGGGGGGGTTCCAGCCCAGCGCCCGAGCACTTAAAAATCATTTGCATCAGAGAAATCCTGTTGAATTGTGGATAAGTGGTAAAACCCACGGATCATGGTCCAGGCTTGGCTGGGGCTGTTCCTGTTTCTCCCCAAGTGTCCTGAGCAGTCCAGCACTAAAACTCGGACATAGCAATCCAAGGGGAACCGTATGAAAATGCCCCAGGCTTGCGCAGAGCTTCCTTGGCTCCCGCACTGTGCGAGGAGCTGATCAAAACCGAAATGAAGATAGATGTGAGGCAGGAGCATGAAAAGGAGAAATGGGTAGTGTCACAGTCCAAAAGCTAATCGCTTTTTATTTTTATATGTGAATCCCCTTCGCCGAGGCTCTCTCCGAAAGCCAAGTTTCTCAGTGTGTGCCAGAAATCATTCCTCAGATGGATTCTCTGCTTGGTGATTCGATGCAGCGGAGGCTTTGCGTCTTAATAATAAATAAAAAAAACCCTTCTGAAATACAAGTTATTTTATCCTAATCCGCTGCTGTCAAGTAAACACAGACAAAGGTTCCTTTGTTTTGAAATGGCCACCGAGAGAATTTGTTCTACAAACAAAGATCTAGATAAAAAAAGAGAACAGACAAGTCTATAAATTTTGAATGTGGGAGACGCTTTGGGAACGACTCTAGACTCGAGAGATTGAGTTTTCGGTGCCTCTTCTCTCCTTCTCTTTAGAATTTTATTTATTTATTTATTTATTTATTTATTTTCCCCAAGAGTCTTTCTTTTGAGCTGTCTCGGGTTGGGGGGATCCTGAGAATGC